TTATATCCATATATCTGTACCACTTAGGCAAGTTTCAGCCGAGCTCCTCCTACAACTTGTTTTATAAACTGGTGTTATTTACAGTAATTTCAACAAAGGATTTGAGAGTGTCTCTCATTTTAAACTTCGCAAAAAACTCTATTATTTTCGATTGATTTCACAGTATTTGGGTTACCTTATATTTTTCCAGATTTGAAAACACTAGTGATGGGTAAGGTATGGTTTGATTTTTTTGATGGCTTACATACCCAGAACGTTTTGGCATACGAGCGCTACTTGTGTTGTTTACCGTAACTTAAGTTATATGGTATTAAATCACAAACATTTTTGCGCGAATATAATATATTATATATATATTTTTTAAAACTTTCGACGTTGAGTAAATCAACAACAATGTATCGATGAACTTAATTCAGTTTTTGACCATGAATCTCCGTAAGGACCAGTGTTTATCTATGGTATAGTGAATTCGATCAAGATGTGATCTACGATCCAATAGGAATTTTATCCAAAATCAATTATCATGCTTTTCGTAAAGTGATATTGGATGGTCATCAAATGAGCCAGCGTGAAACCGAGATAACTATAGCCATTAGTGGGACCATATTGCATGATTCACTGTAAAAAGAGTTTATCGCCACAAAATTTGCCAATCACTCAAAATAAGACTCGTGTCTATTGGTCGAGAGAAATGCTACATGATCGCGGTCTATAATATCGTGACAATTGGGGAATCGTGAACTTATACATACGATCTTAAAAGTAAATAGCAGTCGACTGTATAGGTTTTCAAAGAAGGACCGAATAAAGCAAAAGCTTTTGGCCCACGAAACACTTCCAAGCAAAAGGTTGCCTATTATTTCGGCGAAATGTGCACAAGCGTGACACTGGAAATGCACAGAAGAGTAAATTCTGACCATTTGTATAGCAGTTGTCTTTCAAGAAATCAGAAAAACCAAAAACCACTATAATGCCCTCACACATCGATTTGAACAACAGCATTTTTAACACCCAAACCATTGATTTAATGATTTATTTATTTCCTATTCTGCTATATCAGCACGAGTTTGTATTAATTCCTATGCATCCAGTTCCAGGAATTAGTTCTGGTGCACCATAAGCTCACAAAAATGATTCTTGAATTTTTGATGTGTCTTCTGAGCCTTCAAAAAGTTTCACTTACTGTACTACGATTTTGGTAAATTTTTCCAACACATGCTCTTTTCTGTCTCAGCTGTTAGACATATGTACAAAAAAAAGTTATGTGCACACAATTTTTGTATGTTTTTTTGGATGTTTCTTGATATGTGGGTTTACCGCTGACTCTAGGCCCAACTTTCGACTAATTTTTGCACAAATTGTTGCCGTATGAGTAAATACTTTGAAACCGCTGAAGCGATTTTCCAAACCACCTCCCAACCACATGGAAAACGCCAGTTCTAAACCTCTTTACATGTGTATATTCGCATATTTGTTCAAGCAAACGAACTTATTTTTCTAATTTAATTCACTTCACTTATATTTGTGTTTGTACAAGTGTGATTATTTCTAAAAATTCATATTTCTTAGTGTTTTAAATTAATTTAAAATTTAATTTTGAAACTAGAAAGCTTAATTAATTATTTGTTTACGAAATTTATATATTTTTCCATAAATCTTCTTTTTATTTAATTAAAATGGAACATCGATCAAATTTTAAAATATTGAAGCTTTAGCATCCAATTTGTCATACATTTTTTTTGATGTTTTGATGGCAACACTATTGCATAATTATGCAGGGAAAATAAAATTTTGCATTTTCTGCAATTTTAATTGATTAACAAACCATTTCATATATATATATATATACTATGGTACTTTGTTCTGATTTAAAAATGAAAGCAAAAATAAGAAAAAAACTATTTAATAACCGTTTGAATGCAAATGGCCGTAAGCAAATCATTAATATTTATATTATATTATTTTTAAGCAAATATTAATTATAATCAAATTTTATTTTAAATATTAAAATATTAAATTCATGCTTCAATTTTACAAACGTAACATTTAAATAAAAATTTGTTGCAATTTGTTGCTTTTGAGCATGAAATGCCTACATATATTTAAATACTTTCCATTTTTGATTAAATTTAGCTTCATTAAAAATTCATAACAGTTTATTGAATACTTTTCTACACAAACTGCTTTATTTTCTTTTTAAATAAAATCAATTTTTATATGTTTATTTTATGATAATACTCTTATATATGCATATTCAAATGCATATAATGCACATCACGTGTAATGCTTCAAAGCCTTGCTGGCAAACGAGCAGAAGTAATATGTACACGTACATACATGCATGTAAGTACTCGTATATGTACATATTTCTAACGAATTTTTTTTTGCTTTTCTGCTAATATAATTTGCAACATTTTTCTTTATTTTCTAAAAATATAAGCTCACCACAAATCCACCCAAAAATCAAAAAGAAACTAGAAACACGAGCTACCTTCTTTCATACCTGTATTTCATTGTACTGTTATATATTCATTCTCATATCTAAAATATTTGCTGATATGCGCCCCCTATTTCGATGATTTCCGGTGACAATTTCACTATCAGACTAGGTTGGTTTATTAACGTCTGTAGTGATGATGCTTCTGCATCTCCTGTTGTTATCTATTGACAACTCGGGAAATTTTGCATGAGCTTATCAATGTTTTCGGCGGTAATAAGTATCCAACCGCCGCACAGTGGGCTGAAACGGGACGGTAAAGGGCTTGGCATTTGGAGTTTTTTTGAAAGTTTAAGTATTGTGTTGGATTTATCTATCGATTATAAGTAACTACTTCTAAGACGGTCTACCAGATAAATTAGTATTTTCGGGGGAATTAATTTCCAAATTAATTTTTGTATGGAGAAAAGAAAATCTCATTATCAGATATTTTACTCTGCACAGGCACTCATATTAGATTCAGAGAGAACTGCTTAGCCATCACGTTAAGTGTTCTGCTGTAATTCTATAAGATTTTTGAATCTACGGTTAGAGGTTTTTAGTGCTGCCTGGAAATGCGAAAATATATAAATATATATGTACGGTAGTGGCAGCTACCACTACCGTCTGAAAAACACTGCAGTGATTCAGTTAATGAAAGGGTTTGCAAATACCAAGCTTCCTTGGGTAAACTCCGCCACCGGTGCTGTTATTAAAATTTTATCCATTCAAATAGAAATGAGTTCAGACCCGATTTTTGCTGATATTAGCCAACAGTTTCTATCCAATATAACTACCTTGAAATCTATCGTAAAGCCAGTGAAGATTATGCAGTATACGATATTTTGGTAGGTGGAACCTTATTAAGAAATCAATATGATCGTGGCTTATTTCATTCGAACACTTTTTTGTAGCCTACCGTAACACAAACAGTATTATGCAGCCCCATAATGTCAATAGAGAGTAGATCGATAGGGACATTCATAGTCTCAGTTGGTGTGGTACGTAATAAACACTAATAAACAGGAGCGCAGTTCTCTGCACTCTATGAAATTTATAGTTGGCTTATTTTTTCTCGAGTGTTGGCCGCTAGACTACAACTTCATAGCCAACGCACTATTTTAGGTGACATTTCCGACCCTTCGCTCTATTGCAAGTATAGAGGGCGGTGAATGCGTAAGACACCATTTCCTCGGAGTTTTTTAACCAAGCTTAGTTTGCCGTCCAGAGTGAGTCCTTAGAGCACTAGTGTTGAAAACATTGAAATTTTATAATTTCCAAAACAAGAAGACAGCTTCTGTAGGCTAATGCCTTATCCAGTAACATTATCCTACTCTTCTATCCACTTTTTAGCACGTTAATATTACAAAGGATTTTTCGTAAAAATCATCAAAGTAAATAGCTACGTGTATAGTGAATATTATAGCTATGTGTCGAGCATTGTCAGCAATTGATGAAAGAGTCAGACGCCATCAATAGAATCAATATAATTACCATCCTTGTATTTTCTTGAAGGGAAGGGAAAGTAAACAAATAAGTTGCGTTTTATTAAAGTAAATTGACTTATAAATAAGTAATTTCAACGCAGCATGTTAATAGAACAATGGATATATTTTGTGCACTTACATACACATATACTTAAATATATTCGTAAAGCACTGAGAGTTGAGCCTTTTCCTAAACGCATAACCCAAGGCTAAGTGAATCACGTTAATCATTTTCATTGTTTAGAAATTCTCGAAATAACTTGTGGTGCATAATTGCCTCATTTTAATTTGGGAAGAAAATTTACAATGTCTTAATGACACTCAAACAAACAAATATGCCTCCAAATTAACAGCAAGCGAAACCTCAACAATTCGAAAAGCTTAAAAGTGAATTAAATGGTTTTATTGCATTATTCTGATTGTAGTAATTTGTTCGAAGACATTGCGATGTATTCTTCAATTCAATTTTTAAATATGACAAGTTGATTTTTTGAATTGTGAACTATGGCGGCCGCTATAGCCGAGTGATTAGTAGCGGATACTATCATTCGCCAGGCTCGAGTCCTGCTCTGATCAATATTTAAAATTGTTGAAAGTTAACTTTTCTAATTGCAAGGAATGGCAAACACTACAGGTGTTATATCTGACATGAAAAGCAAAGTTCTCTATAAAAGAAATTCATTGACCGTTCCAAAGCGGCTTAGAATAAACTGTAGATTCTTCCATTTGTTGAAAAAACGTCAAGATACACACCACAAATTGGGGAAGAAGCTTAGCCGAAAATCACCTCAGCGGCTACGAAGCAATATTTATTGTATACATAAATATGGCCTCAGAATGTGCCTTGTATTTGTTAGTTGAAATTTTAGTTTACAAAAGCTCTGCGCATTAGTAAAGTGCAATCTTTGAATTTTTCGTTAACATTTTCCAAGAATTTCTACACGATTGTATACAATTAATTAAAGTAATTAATGCAAAATTAAAGTAATTAAAATTCGAAATAATATTATTTATATTACATTTGATATTAACTTCTTTATTATGATTAGAAAAAGCAAATTTACAATTAATTTCTGAATTTTTCAAGATGGAGTTTATGACCAACTTCTCATATGTTTGGGTTTAGTTGTATTTTATCTCAACTTTAGACTCTCCATCGCAATTGACGGTGAGTACTTTTCCGTTGGGCAACCATTCCCTCGACCAAATTTGAATATTGCAATTCTTCACTTCATTAACGCCATTGACTAGGTCCACATTGTACTTGTTAATAACGCCTGCTACAACTTGTTGGCTAACAGAGTAAACTTTTGAAATTCTGTAGAAATAGAGAGGAAACAAATTAAAAATATTTTAACTCAAATTAATATCGTCGAAATAATAAAAAAAAATTTTTTTGTTGCTTGTCAAAATGGAATCATTAAGAGAAAATAATTTTTGAATCAGTCAAAACTTTTTTTGACATACTCATAATGCAATATCACCATGTTCAGATTCCAATTTTTCCTACAAAAGTAATTTTTCACTTATGCTTACTTATAGCTCGGTCCATCTCCAGCAGCCAATTTACTTAGGGAATTTTCGAGAGCTTTTACAGCAACTCTCAATTTCCAACCACTAAGGGTCTTACTACCACCAAGAGCGTACGTCTAATAACATAAATGAGGAGAAAAATAAAATAAGAAATTATCATGAAACCAGAATAATAATTTTAAATTTCTTTTATAACATATTTTTTGATTCATTTACCTCTTCGGCGAAGGACAAAGCGGCAAAAGCGCAAGCAAATACAAAACATAGTCTGATTTTCGACATTCTCAATTAGTTAGACAGTTCACTGAATATCTTTATTGCGAGTATAGAAATAAGACTACACATTTTCGAAAACAGATATTGTCTTTTATACAATGTTTCCCACGAAGTGCCATATATACAAATAGCTGTACATATATTGTATTTCTATGGTAAATATGTGTGCTCAATGAACACTGTTCATATACAGAACTTGCTTATGTAATCCATCAGAGTATTTACTTAGTGAAACATATGTTATTTTTCCATTAAAAGTATGTTTAATAAACTGACGTCATGTGAGGTAGTTTAAACGTATACTCTTATGGGCAAGCTCTTGCTTAACGTGCTCCTTTATAGAAGGAATTTTTTTGTGTTTCATTATCCAGAAGTCGTCACTACAGTATTTTTTTCAACTTTTTTTTGTATATAAAATCTTCATTATAATAAATTCATTTATAGCGACCGTGATCAGTTAAAAAGTGTTACATATGTGTATTTACATATATTATATTTATAAAAGGATCAGTTCTGAGCTTAAGCCATTATGCATAGTTACCTGAAACTTGGAGAGTGCGTTAAGCGTGTGACGAGGCCTTCGGTAAGAAACGTATCGTATTTAGTTTCAAATCTCTCGATTTGCAAAAAATTTGATACAGTGGTTGCCTTTGGCCAAAATTAATACGAATTACTTCCAGGAAATCGGCCTGGTACCGATATATTAGGTCGAGTAAAAAGTTCGTTCGGTTTTTATTTAAGAGATGGCGTTATTGTTCATAATACTAGTGATTGTTTTTCACAGTTTTTCGATTGATTGACTCAGTACGTTGTGCGATAGAATCATGGAAATAGTGGAAACCGACCATCACGTGAGCACTTATTTAATTGCTCAGGAGCTAAGTTTGGAATCATTTGCATAACCTTGGTTCCAAAAAAAATCTCGGATTTTGGGTGCCACACGAACTAACGCAAAAAATATCATAGACCGAATTCCCATCTGCGAATCGCTTCTCAATCGCAAAAAAATCGACCTGTTTCTGAAGCGGATTGTGACCGGCGATGAAAAATGGGTCACTTACGCCAACATCAAGCGCAAACGGTCGTGTTAAAAGCTCGGGGAAGTCGCCCAGACGCTGTCCAAGACCGAATTGATGGCCAGGAAGGTTTTGATGTGTGTTTGCTGCTTCCTATGACCAACCGCTCAATTCGGCCCTCTACTGCCAGCAAATGGACCGCTTGTAGGCAGCACTCGTCCAGAAGAGGCCATCTTTGATCAACAGAGGCGAAATTGGGTTCCATCAGGACAACGCCAGGCTACACACGCGCCAGAAGCTCCGGGAGCTCAGATGGGAGGTCCTAGTGCACCCACCTTATAGTCCGGACCTGGTACCAAGTGATTACCATCTTTTTCTGACCATGGCGAGCGCGCTTTATGGTCAGAAGTTGGTCTCAAGAGAGGCCTGTTAAAATAGGCTCTCCGAGTTTTTGGCCATTAGGGACGCAGCCTTCTACGAGAGGGGTATAATGAAGTTTACATCTCGCAACAAGTTTACGAACAAAACGAAAAAAAACTTAAATCGAACAAATATACACAAAGTTATTATATTTTGAAAAATCAATTAAAAAAACCGAACGAACTATTTAAAAAAAAATGTATGTTGTACGATTTTTCTTTCGATAAGTAGACTTGGAACCGATCTTTTGAAAAATCGATGTTTGGTTCCATTTGCTTGAAATTCGCAACGGAGATAGCTCTTTTCCTCCATTTGCATTTCTTTTTGAGAGGGAAGTGGGAGCGATAGCTCTTTTCATAGGCTAATATTTTATGTGAAAACCGTTATTTCCTTTACCGATCATATTCGAAGAAAATGTTTTTTGCGATTTTACCTTTACCTACCTTTACATATAATTCTTACATACGAACATGAAGCAACAATTGTGGAACGACTGACAATCAATTGCTAAGTGTTCAAAAATACTGTTGCTTCAGTTGACGTGTAAGAGCTTACATTGTTCTGCTCTTCCCCCTAATAACCATAGTTTGCTCAATCTCACGATATGTCATATGATGATCTTGGAGTATTGGTTTGCGCACAGCAACAATAGTTTCCGAAACAATAACTCATTTTAGACGGCTTTCACGAAATTCATCTTGTAGTGATGTATGACCTCTATTGAATTTCCTATAATATCGATAAATACTGTTGCTTGAAGGAACTTCATCACTAAAAAATGAACTAAGTTCGAAAGCTATAAAATATAATCGTTGCGTTCGACACCCTGCGGGTTAGGGATTCAAGAATTAATCAGCGGTAAGGCATGCCTGTCGTAAGAGGCGACGAAATTCCAATATATCTCCCGACAGACGGGTCTTTATACCGGAACGACTCGGATTTTTATCCGATCAGGGACTCTCAAAGAAGTACTTTGATGAATATTTTTGCGTTTACAACAACAACACAACAATACCGCACTTTTAGAGCCTTTCCGCTTTTATGGAGTCAGAATGCCTCCACAGCGATGATTGAGCCTTAGTTCTGACGTTATATCCGCAAACTCAGATTTTGTCAGGTCTTACAATACGTTTCAGAAATTGGTTTACTTCATTTAGTGGCTCCATAACAATTTCCATTTGCAACTGCTTTTCTTCAAAATTCAATAATTTAGGAACAAATTTTGCTGACACGCGCTTCATAGCCAAAACATTGGAAACAAATTATGCATAATCCAATTGGTATGTGACTTTTTTTAATTGTGATTCAGTGTACGCTCATAACCATTTTTTTCACTGCTGGAGATACAGGGTATTCTTCACCTTCAACATTTTCACTGCCCTCTTTTCTCAAAAGTAATCATCAAGGCTACATCGCACATAGATGTCAGAGCAGAACTGCTTAAAAGCAAATAAATCATTTTTATTTTACGTAATAATGTGCCAACTTTGACGTGACCAATTATAAATCCATTTACAACTTAACTAGATAATTGCGTGTGCTAATTAAACGCATGAATGCCCAATTTATTAAATAATATATCACTGAAGAGTTCACGTGTTACTCAAACAGGCGTATATATGTAAATGTATGTTTTATTATTGCCAATCTAAAATCATTAAAAGTGCTTATTAACTGTGCTGAAGGCGTGCAAAGACTAATAATCGTTTCAAAGCCCAACAAGGTACAAAGAAAATGCTATGAAAATGTGCTGATAAGGATTTTTAACAATCAAATGAATAAATTAAGTTGCCCCGCCCCTTACTTTTCGATCATGAAATCTATTGTTGGACAATTTATTTCGCAGAAACTGTTCAGGCTTAAACTTTTAATACAGAGTGCATTTTAGACGTGTGGTATTCAATGAGGTACCACTTCTTTCGGAGTTGGTCTTTTTAACAGCTCTTACTTTATTTATACTCAGCTTGGTTTGACATTTCAAAATGAACAACTTTTCTCGGAATCATGTTTCCTTATCGTGTAAATTTATTACCAAAATAAAGGTTCGGCTCACGTGACGCATCGCACGCGGTCGGCTAATCGCTCGTCAGAGTCGTCTATTCAAGCAATCATTAATCTGTTTTGCTCCACATTTACACTAGTGGGCAATAGGCACCGTCTGATATGCTGTACAGTGCACATCGAAGCCGTTATTGCTGCTGTGGAGCAGAGTATCGAAGAAGACCCAATCCATCCGCCGTAGCGCACAACAATCGCAACCCATCCATCTTATGGAAGATTTTACGGCTTACAAAATCCTACATATGTAAGAGTGGAAGCCGAATTTTATGATCGCTACTGAATTAAGCGTTCTATAGACAGTGGTTCACATTTCTTCAAAAATGAAGCCACTCATATTGTTACAGTTAATGTAGGAATGCAATAGAGCCATGATTAATGGCTTTTTCTTAACTGAATTTTATGATATTGGTGTGGACGACCTTTGTCAAGATGACGCTGCATGTCATATAGTCAACGAAACAATCAATTTAGAGAAAGTGACGTGTCGTGGGCATGTGACAGGGCTTCTAGAATCGCACGATTGAACACACTGTACTATATTTTCTGGAGTTATGTGAAGTTTTTTGTCCACGCAGAAAAGTCAGAGACAATTGACGCCTTGTTTCAAAAAATGGTCGAAAATTGGGTCACTTGACTGAAATTTATTTGGGCCAGCAACGTTGGCCACTTGCTCGCATGATTACAATTTGGTTAGTGATTGCTAACTTCAGTGCTAGAGTTCGAATAGATGACGTTTTCATGGAATTAAAATAAAAATTTGTTCATTATAAAATTACCAACCCGAAATTGGCATGCTTTCTTTCCTCAACAAGTGGCTTTCAGCGAATCTGAGCCATGAAATATTTTCATATTAAAATTATTATAAAAATGACGATTAAAGGCAACTTTATTGACACGCCTCCGCGGTGATGGAACTTCATCCAATTCATTTTGCTCTGTCTGCCCTTGTCTACAAAAAATAGTCTATATTCGAAAAAAGTGCGTTACAGACCGATTGGCTTGACTTGATTAGTTTCAAGCTTCTTTATTCCTAGTTGGTATTACAATAGTTAAGATTGGCTCTGCTCCAAATATGCATAATATTTCTGTACGGGAAGGGGTCACCGACAGATTGACAAAAATTAGTATGATTTGGATACAAGCATCACTCGTGGGTTGGTATATTAGCGGGCCGTTGCGGGTTAAAAGCTATTCTAATACATTCAACTGAAGTGTGAATAAGAGCATAGATCCGAATTATTTCGAGGCATTCATACTGACATTTTTCCTGAAAGATTTTGAGCAGCGCAGAACACAAACAACAATTATTTAGATCAATAATGTTATAAAAAAAACTTAATAATTTGACTTAGACGACTCTTAATTGGGGTCTTTTATCACTCTGTGCAAGAAAGCCACTGCAACGTATATCCGAGTCGGCTAGTACCTATATACTCGTATGTACATATCTACTTATTTGCAAATTAACCTTGCTTCTTGCCCATATTGTGCACAATTAAACATTCATATATCGAGTTTTGAATTTTCAACGGTGTCTTTCGAAAGTTCATCGTTGGCAATTAACATTAATTTGCTGTAGAATAGTTCTAAGAAAACATG